TGGGAGGGCGACTCCCAAATGATTTTCTCGGTTTTGTAGGTGGGAAGACAGCGCTGACCCTCTGGCTCCCATGCATGGCCATACAGGCTTCCCCCCTCCAAAGGGATCCTAACCGAGGTGCTGGGGAATAAGCAGTAGGGGATCCACTCCTCGCCCGCTGGGCAGAGTCCACATGGCGCAAGGTCAGGCCCATGCGGTCCCGGCCCTGTCCGGGAGTCTTGGTGGAAACCAGCAGGAAACGAGCCTCAGTACTGGCAAACTCCAGAGGCCTTGTAAGGGGGCCGCGCAGTGCTAAGGCGAGAGCACAGGGCCCGGTACGGGGACGGAGGAGGGTCCCGGGAAGATTGCACTGGCCCCGGGCGGGTCCGTTGCCCCCCCACGAACGAACGTTTCAGTGTAACGTCCAATGAGAAAGACAGGATGCATTTCTGCCTCCGCAAGACCTAAGAAGCCATTTTCCTAAGAAGGGATAAAGGATTTTGTGCCTTCTTTGCTTACATCCTTTCTATTTTAACTTCAGGTAAAGAAAAATTAGAGGAGCCACGAGTTTTAGAATTAGGTCATTTGTAACTCTTCTTGTATCAAAACTAAAAATAATTAAAAGAAAAAAATTCTTGAATGCGTAATTCATTTCAGAACCAACTATCATGTTTACTTTCAATGAACCCCAAACCAAGAGGTCTGTGGGCAAATCAAATTTCATACAGAGAAGACCCATTTTCTACACAGTGTCAAAGTTTCTGGAATTTAACAGAAGTATCTGAGATTAAGGCTAATTCTTAAATTCCATCGTTTTAAGATCTCAACATCAAATAACTTTATCAGCATAGTCCTATTTGATTACTTGCTGAGAGAGAGAAAGAATGTGGATGAGGTTAAAGCCTTGGACTTCACTAGAGCAAACAAGATAGGGGCTGGGACGTTCAGTTGCAGAATTCTGTATAAAGACTTCAAAGCATCCTCCTGATTTTCAGTAAATCACTAATTTTTACTGCCTTTTCAGTGAAGTGCATACGCAGAGTATCTCCACGTCTTGAGTAATCAAATTAAGGCAAGAAGTCTACAACCTTTTTCAAGGCCAGTGGCAATACCAGTTTTTGAACATGTCTTTAGAACATACTCCTACAGAACATTCTAGGAAATTATCAAACCTACCTGCACAATACAATCGCCTGGGGAACTGTCAGAAAAACAAAGGCCCAACTCATAAGATTCTAATTTCATTGGTCTCAGATAGGGCCCAGTTTTCCACATAGTACATGTGAGCACACACACGCGCATGCACACACACACACACACACACACACACACATCCCAAACACACATCTTGTCCAGGAGATACTAATAATGAAACCATTGCTTTAGACTTGGGGTATATCCCAAAAAAGAAAAGACAAACAATTCCTAATAATCCATCCTGAACTTCCATGTAAGGGGAAAACTTCTGCCTTAATAACAATCACTTGTGTTGACATCATCATCTCATTCAAAAACAGAAGATAAAAAAGTTTGCAATCGCCAAACATCCTATTCCAAGCAGCAAAAGAGGTCAAAAGCAAATGACATTTTTTTCCCTTTGTCATCTGCAGCGATGCCAAATGAGGTATTAGCTATTGGTTATCGTATTAAGGTTGGACTATCTTGTGAAAAACTTTATTTCCGCTAATTTTCATTTCTGTCAGACTTTCCATTATAAATTTTATTTTCTCTGCCAGTAAAAGTAGTATGAGGTTGCAATTTGGCAAGAACATTTTAAGCCTGGGTGTGATTTCCGTACCCCAATTTGATTTAAATTAGTTTTGCCATATTTACTGAGCACTAAAAAAAGTCCATTTGGCCGCTTTGCTTTGTCTATTGGTTCATTTTCTATACAATTTCAAAAGTCTGAAAAAGTTACCATGTTTACCTCTGATAATTTTACGTGGAAATGCACTAATGAATTCATATTACCCCATGACTATTTATGATGAAAACAACTTAATAAAGAACCCACCAGCCTTTGTTTTTTGGCTGAAATACCTGCTTTTAAAAAGCCACGTGTCTATCCCTATTAGTGTTAAATCCTCAAGAGAAACGTAATGCACATATATATATATGTTATATTATATACATGCGACATATATATATATATATAATAGATATATTTTAACCTGATGCATTTTTGAAAAAAAAAAAACATGCATTTCAAAATAATAATTTATTTCTCCAGAACGGCTTTTTGCTACCTGTTGCTTACCACCACTATTTCTCTATACCAAACAAAAGGCTATTGGGACTGGAACAAGCATCTTCCCGTTTAACAGTGCTCATCCCCCTAAGTCCACAGGATACGTTGTTATAATACGATAAAGCTGCTTTGGGAGCTCCTCAGGGCATATCATCTAAAGGATTTCCACCCAGCATCTCTAAAATGTAGTAAACAGGAGAAACAAAAGCTTCCTCTCCAGGAGAGCCACTCACCTTGCCACACAGTGGGGAATCATTTCAGCTGTGATCTGCTACTTAGACTTGAAGCCCAAGATACCGAGACTTTGCCTTTCCCTTTGGTCTGCATAGCTGGTGTTGGAGACAGGGATTCAAAAAAGCAATTCGGCACCAGAGAAACATTCACTGGAAGACACACTATGGTCTGCTCTATTCTCAAATTTCACGGAAAGCAGAAACTCATAATATGTGCACTTTTCCTCTCCAGCCCCTATTTTCTCAATCGGGGAATTTCCGAAATTTGGCTCTTTAATTTATCCTTAAGTGATCACACTGTTTATGGATACTGCTGAGACCACGCTAAGCACAGAGAAAGTCGGTTCTTGCAAGACTCACGACCGTGAAGCAGACACAAGAAAGAGAGAAATCTCCACACTCCACAGCTACACTATGAAGACTTTTTAAGAAAAGCAGATGCAGGCACACTCCTATATACAATGAGAATTTTCCTGGACACGAATGTCTCAAAATGCGCCTCCCGAGGCCCAGAAATGCAGCCATCACACACCGGTCCGTCCACCTCTACTCCACCCTCTGCCCCTTCCACTTCTCACCTGGTGTTTGCCAAAAAAATAACTTCGGTCTCACCCGAGGGAAGTATTTCCCACAAACCGAGGGAGGGTCTGTGTCCCTGCACTTACACAGACAGACTCACGCGGTCTGGATGATGCTTTAACAAGTTAAGGGGCCTCGCGCTTACTCAGCAGAGGAAATCTTTGTGTCTGTGAGGAATCACGCCAATTCCTATTAGTAAGAAAGGATACAGGGGCGAGGAAGCCTATTCTCTCATTGACCAGAAAAAGAGGCCCAGCGAAAACAGAGACCTCTGCCATGACCATCTGCAAAAAGGAAGGATGTTGTCAACTTTCTTCTCCCCAAAACTCTAGTGACCTCTGCCTTGACCCTCCGCAACCAGATACACAGGAACCGGCTCTTCTGCAGGAATTGAGAGCTTTACACCAGAGACTCAGCACTGAGAGGCTTGTCGCCGGAGCTATCTGCCCCGAACATTTGCACTCACATTCCAAAGATGTTTCCGTTGTGCTGGAATGGCTGTAAATTTCTTTCCTGCAGAATTCTTTCCAAACAAACTGCCATGAACTGTACTCTGCAGCTTGTGCAGCAGGAGTTCTTAACCAAGCACCAGTTCACTTCGTTGCGACCAAGCTTTCAGATGCTGAACAGGACTGAATTGGTGGCTGGGCCAGAGGAGGCAATTTTAAAAATGCAAATATATCCAGGGGGGGATAAAAAAAAAAATAAACCTCCAGCAGAATTCCACCTCTAGTGACATATGACTGATGCATAAAGGTAACATCCTTCACAGGCTCTGTTTAATTGCAAAAACTGTCTGCTTGCATTTTCCAGGATGTATTAAACAGGTTGTTTCAGAAATTCAAAACGGATTTGTTCCCATATCCTTAAAGAAAATGGGAGGGTGAGCGGGTTGGAGAGCAAGCATTCCCTTTCGAGCATAAGAAGAATGTACATTCTGTTTGGGTGAGGAATGAGACAGTAGAAAGCTCTGAATATGAGAGAGGATTATTAAATTCTACCAAGAGTTTGCCCAAGTAAGAAACCAATGCACTTACAAAAAAGAAAGCCTAAATCCTAAGCAAAATCAAAGATTTTAAACATACGATTAATACCGATATTGAAGTCAAAAAAAAAAAAAGGAAAGAGAAAGAAAGAGAAAGAAAGAAAGAAAGAAAGAAAGAAAGAAAGAAAGAAAGAAAGCAAGCAAGCATCTACAAAAACTCAATTGTCCTAAACCAAAGCTTACACTTTTGGCCATGGATAGTATTTTTAGAAGTGGGCTTTCTCTGGAGAGTGCAAAGTATGCAAATGCAGAGTGCACAGAGACACAAACACACACATGCTATACCTTTGTATTACACTGGCATTTTATTATTTAATTAAAGTACTCTTATTTTTCTAGCTCACGCATGCTTCCCCTGAGACGGCTTTGCTGTTAGCCTGCTGGCCTTGACTTCCAGCCAAAAACAATTCAGAAACAAAAAGGGACAACAAATCATATTTTCACAGACATTTTTATCTCTCAATACAACCCTGTTTTCACACAACATCATACAGCCCCTATGAAAACTATAATTTAGGGCAACAACCCACCCGAAACCCAGGGTCTGACGCATGGCTACATGAAGTATTTCTAGTGTAAGAAATTCGTAAGTTCTTAATTGCAAATAAACTCTTTTGATAGAACAACTTTAACGGACATTGCTGGTTTGCAAACAGTGCCACTGGTATCGGCTGATGGATTAAAAAAAAAAAAAAAAGGCCAGTGAATGCAGTTCTGATACGGCAGGGATCTAGAGACGAGGTGTTTATTACTTCCCAGCTCTGTGTTATTTCATTACTTTATAAAAGAGAGAGGCATCGGCAGATATTCAGTGCATCTCAGTGCCACAGTCTAAAATGCATCACCTAATTTACAAAACACACCGATTTACCCGGTTAATTCTCTCAGCCCTTCCCCAAGCAAGATTCTCACTTACCTGGTGGCAACCCTGTAAGTTTGATTCTCTCCCATAAGATGAGTATGAGCCCCTTTCTGTTTTACCTGCCAAGAGAAACAACAAAAAAGTGTAAATTATGTTTTTCCTTAAAAAAAAAAAAAATCTCCAGGTAACAGGCATCCACTTCTCTTCCCCGATGTTTACATACGTAAAGTAGGCACTGCTGGCAATGTATGCAAGCAAGAGAAGGAATAACACTTCCTCACTCTGGCTATGATAAACTGGAAAAAAAATATCCTTCATGCCTATTCTTAGCCAAACTGCTCCACACTTCCAAAAACTGTCATTCCAATGGCCTCCACTTTCTCTAACAAACAAATTGTCAGCCCTTATTTTCACTTTCTTTCTCTCACAAAATTTAAACAATTTCATTTTTATTTACACAGCAGGCAAATTATCTATGTAATGACCCTCGTCTAGTAATTCCCATTGATTATATTGACACTTAATGGTGAGGCCAAAGCTAATCAATCAAGGCTCTCCAGATGGTGAAAATAGCAAAGAAACTACTCAAAATTCTGAGACTCCCCTCTCTCTCTCTGTCTCTCTCTCTCTGTCTCTCTCTTTTTTAAACTCCCTTTCCCAGGGGGTACACCCCATCATGATCAAGATGATGATGGAATTTACACTGGGGAAGGGGGCTTTTGCAGAATGGTCCCCTCTGAACCCAAGTTCAGATCCTACCGATTGACCCAGTGGAACAAGGAATAATGGAACGTCCATGTCTTGTGCCAATTCTAACAACTCAGCTTTTATCTGTGGATAGCTCTACGGGGATGTATAGAGCCTCAGATGCTCTTTGGCCACATCTAAGGATACAATCAGGCTGCTTATTTGGGTTATTTCAGAAGTATGTTTAGCCTTAATAATTTGCAAGGGAGACAATGAAGCCACATTACAAGAGATCTAAGCAATAGAATTTAGTGACATGTGAAGAGCTGTCATAGAAAACCAACCCATATTAGGACATCAAAAAGGACCAGTGGCATGACCAAGTGGCCAGAACACAAACTCCATCCCACCCCACCCAAGACGGAGGGATACTTCTCTCTTCAAGACTAGAGCTGAGAGGGACACAGCACATCACACCCAGAACCCGACTATTCTTTTTTTTGTTTTCCAATGGGAAGATTCAAAACTAGTATTTGGAGAGATCAGAATTGAAATCCTTCTAAAGTCTACACCCCCAAGTTTTCCTCCCTCCACTCCAGTTAAAATAAATGTTAAAAGTAACGGCAGTCATTTTTTATCTTTTGGTTCAATGACAATGCTATTAGAGTCCACCTTCCTGACACCACACAAAGAACGGATCTTCAATAAATCTGCTATCCTGTCAAAAGTGTACCTGATACCGAAGTTCACTGTATTCATAAAATGGAAGATGATTTTCAAAGAAAGCCAAACCTGAGTCTCAAAATTAACCCTCTCTCCCTCAGTACTAACTTTTCTATTGGCTTCAGAGAATCTCCGACTTAGGAAAACACTCCTCCCTGCTCCCCCATATCTGGCATAGTGATCGGGGCAAAGCAGAAAATCAATCCCCATATCAGTTTCAATTCCCATGAAACAGGATACCATCTCATAGACTGTCAGTCTCCAGAGATCTAAGACAATAACTTTCATTGTATGAGGATTTTACATTAAAGTCAATATGCGTTTACCCATTTCAGAAGCATAAGTGGTCATATACACGTATTTACTTTTCTGTGTAAGTCAAATGTAGGCCACTTATACCCTTGAACTTCCCTTTATAAATATTACTAACAGAAAAGAGCTCGACCTTTACGAGCTACCAAATGAGGTATGTCCTTCCTTAAGCTCTTATGTCTGAAAAGCTTCACTACAACCACCACACAGTTCACTCTGACATAATATTCACTTGTTTAACTACCAGAAAAAGCAGGTGAGGAGGTTAGGGAGGCGGGCGGACAAAGATAGAAAGATAGGTAAAGTAGAATTTACTCTGACTTCCTAGGAAATTGGAACATCTAGTGTCCTGTTTGGGTAATTTCTAAAAATTGGATTGCAAAATACAGTAAGAAGGTAGAGGGATTATCCATCTCTTTTCTCTAGAAGGAATTACTGAAGCTGTCCCCTATAGAATCTCTCCACCTGGCATTATTTCCCAACCCGACTCCAACACATAGAACTGGAGGGATGAATTTTCCTACCAAGATTTGTCTCAATTCATATATATATATATATATATATATATATATATATAAAGTTGAGGCTATTCCTTCCATTATTTTAAAGCTAGAAGGTCAGTGCAAATAGTAAGGAGAGAGAGAGAAGAGAGAGAGAGAATGTGAATGAAAATAAATGGGAGAGAAAGGAGAGAAATCAAGAGAGGAGGAGTGAAATGAAAAGAGCAAGGGGCTAGGAAGGAAGGGAGAGAAGAGAATATGAATTCACGCTGCACAGAGTCCCCAAAGTACTCTTGGCTACATAGACCCGGCATTCTTTACTATCATATCAGATACAGACTGCTTAATCTTAATTTTGCTTGTTAAAAAATATTTATCCAGATACAAAAATAAACCCACTGCAAATTACAAGTTGTCAGGGTTAAAAATCTACTCCTGTTTGTGTGGGGGAGGATAAGAGACCAGCATAGACATGAATCATTCTCAGTAATTTGAGTGTTTCCATGACATCAATGGGCACCCGTCCAGGACTCTGTCGAAGTCTGCGAGGTACCAAAGAGGCAGCGCAGCCAGCAGGAGGCTGGGAGGTGCACTTTTTTTTTTTTTTTAATTTTTTTTTTTTTTTTTTTTAGGATTATGCTCCTTGTAAAGATTTCCTCTGTAGCATCCACTTTTCCCATCAGATAGATGGCTCCGGAGATCATGAGCGAACACGTTTCACTCTGAGAGTGTCAGCCTTTAACTTTATTACATCTTTTTGTTCCCAAATTCAACTATAAATCTGCCCTCAGAGCCCAGACCCCTGTTTGGAAGCAAAATAATCGGAGGCTGTGGACGGACCCCAGCACCTCCTCAAACGTGTCAGATCCACTGCCACCGTTTGCTAATGACAAACAGCAGCCATTTTACAATGACACCTCGTGCCTACGATCTAGACACGGGTAGATGGTTCTCGATGGGGGTGTGCGTGTGTGTCTTTTGTGTGAACTGCCCATTACAGACCAGCTCTGGTTCTGATGTCGACCTTCTGCTTAAAATTCACTGCCACATGGGTCTCAGATAATAACATGCTCACGACGCCGGGGACATGTTCGAGGAGGATTCTTGGGTGACTCTGCGCTCAGGAGCACAAAGCCCCGCACGCTCTGCGGGTCCCCGTGCCAGGCGAGGGGCTGTCCCCAGCCGGCCGCCCCCCGCTGGTCACCCCCGCTCACCTCCCGGCTCGGAGGCACCAGGACACCCTGTCCCCCCAGTGCTGGCAAGACAGGGCAGGGACGACCAAGCCCGGCGCGTTCACTGCGGAATTTTCGAGACGACCCTCCAGTCCTAGAATGCGACAGCCGCTGCGGATATTTCTTGGCACGAGGACAGCGGTGGCAGTGCCAAGCCCGTGGCTCCAACTACCCAGCCGAGCCGCAGGGGCAGCAGCAACCTCGGGGCCTCCGCTGCTGGGGCGCTGCTGTCCACATCTCAGGGCCTACGAGCACCCGTTAGCGGCATTTGTCGCATGCCCACCAAGGGGGGGGTGGTGGCTCGGAAGTACGAACCCCAAACCAATCTTGTCAGGCATTTGATTCATCTTTATACCTAAAAGCACCAAATGGTAAATCCTGCTGCCGGGGATGAGCTGCCCTGCGTGCAGCGCCCGCCGGGCCCTCTGGAGCTCACCGAGGGCGCAGGAGAGCTCCAGACACGGTGCACACGGGCCAAGTCGACATATTGGCTAAACAACTCTCCTCCACAAAAATGATGTGTACGAGGCGCATGTAATACTATGTCACAATTTTTTAAATTAAGCAAGAAAAACGCCGGGACTGAGCAGACACAACATCCATCAATCAATCCTCCTGGAGACAAAGGAGATCAACACGCAGCCCCTTCTCCAGAGCAAGTCGGCATCTACAGTGAGCAAACAATCCGGGAAGTCAACACGTGTTTTGACCAAATTGAGCCCATCAGCCGCTAAAACCTGTGTCTGAATTTGCCTATTAAAAATGGCAGCGATCGATGATCAATAAGGGATTCCCTGGCCTCTTCGGTTGCCCTTGAGAAACTAATCCAAGCAGAAAGCATAAGCTGCTTCCAATGTTTTAAAAATTTTTGTTGATCTATTCAATAAGCCTTTATCTCGCTGCCCCGGGAAGGATAAGGAAAAAGAAAATGGTTTTCTGTTTGTTTGTTTGTTTGTTTGGGGGTAGTGTTGTTAACAAATTTCTATACAATTCCAAATTTAATACTTTTATATTCCTTGTATCATTTTCAATTTGACTTCTAATTTATTTTTTTCAGTATATCCGTGGTACCCTATTGTAAGAGAACTCCAAGGGAACCGGATGAGAATGAAAACATTACTTGAAGGGAAAATGATCTCATAAACCCATTCATTCACAGGGATACATCCAAGCATTATCACCTCTGGTCAATTACTACAGCAGTTCTAATCCACATGGAAACACACAGAAAAAGGTTATTGAGAATATGATTTCTGCAGCTAGGCTTGACACAGAAGACCACACCGGTGGTTGACCAGTAGGGTAATCACAAGGTCGTGTTCGGGTTTCTAGCCTTTTGTATTCTTAAAAGGTCACTTTAAAAATCATATAAAAATGGTAGGTATCTCACCCAGCACTGAAAAAGATGCACCTGTACCAGTGGAACATACCATCCCAGGAAAAGGCTTAGTGAAAAATTATCTGATGCTTCAGGACAAACCAAGCAAGGCTGCTTCACTGTTAATCCTCATTCTGGGAACTGAAGAATGAGCCTTTTGTTCCCTGACATCAGACTAGGGAACTCATCATAACCATGTTTGGATCAGAATAAATCTCTGTCCCTGTCCCCAACCCCAAACCATCCCTGGCTACTGGATTTATTATTATTATTATTATTATTATTAT